TTTATCCCATATAAAGATTTGTAAACAGAATCCTAATTCTAACACTAAATAGGTCACTGGTAGGTTAAGAGAGAGAAAAGAGAAAAGGCTTTGTAGAAAAAAATGTGGTGTGTGTGTGGTGTGTATCACTGTATTGTTTGGTCATAGATGTAGTTTTTCTCTCAAGTTTACCAGAAGCAATTATGTATCCATTCACTATATAAATATACTTATTTCATGCTTTGTGTATAAGTGAAGGTTAACATGCTACTTGTTTCTCCCTCAGGAAACAGTTGACAAGCTGCACCCTCTGCCTTCAATTCTGAACCAAATAACAGAGTCACTAGGCCCTGAAGCACCTCGGATAGATATTAACAGGTATGTTGATTTGTGTGATTTGTCCATCATATTAGTTCTGCTGCGTGTTACTAAAACAGTGCTATTCCTGCAGCCAAACAGGACACATCAAGCCAGTGTATATTCCTCCTAAGGACTTGAGCAAGTACAGCCCTCTCCAGTCGTCTCTCCAGCATATTCCTCAGGAATCCAAAAGCACACGTGACAACAGGTCAGTTTCAAAGGGGCACAGCGGAGGTCAGACGCAGCTCCTCCCAATGTCAGTGTGGAGGAAGGACCCTCTCAAGCTATTCAATTACAAATTCAGTTTGGGTCAGATAGATTTGATTTTTTATTCCATTTAGCATCCTTTGTCTGTGCATTTTAAACATGATACAATGTGTTCATTGGCATTTAAATAATTAACACTGATCCGTTTATTCACCGTGGATGTCAGGAGTCAAAAGAGGAAACCGATCGCCAGAACTCAGAGTGCCCCACACAGACGTCCGGCACAAGTAAAACGTGAGATGAAGAGGCAAACGAGCTCCGAGGCTCTGCCGACATCTGACCACGAACAGGAGGCGGATCCCAACCAACCACTTATCTCACCGCCAAATACTGTGAGTATAAACAGGAACTGTGAACTGCCTGTAATAGCAACTGAGCTGCGCAGCTCATGTTCTCGTGTTTATGCAAAAAGGACTTCAGCTTTTCATACAGGAGGCTATAGT